CTCTCTCTCTCTCTCTCTCTCTCTCTCTCTCTCTCTCTCTCTCTCTCTCTCTCTCATCTGTATCTAGGCGTCCTAGAAGCCATGTTCACGTATGCAGACTGTCGGGGTCCAACCCCCTGATGAGTCGGTGAGTCTGACGAAACAGTCTGGCATAGCCCCACCCTCTGCTCTCTTTCTGCGCCTGCATCTAGGTGCTTTTCAGCGCCTTATACAGGCGCAGCGAGTGTCTGTCGGGTTTGCAATCTCGACGAAAACTGTGAACGGCTTCTTCAGCCCATAAAAGAAAAAGAAAAAAATATATAACTAAAGAATCTAAAATGAAATCTAAGAAAAGTAAAAAAGAGGAAAAAAAAATTAAGAAAATCTAAAAGAGAAAAAGACAACAGTCAGGCGCCGTTGAAAACGGAGTCGTGCTTTTTTCTCGGAGACTGTAAGTCCCTGCCTCTCTCTGTGTGCCAACTGGCACCGCGTAAGTATATATATATATATATATATATATATATATATATATATATATTTTTTTTTGATTTTTCCGTTGGCTTTATGCCAACGGTCCTGCAGCGTTCGTGGGCTCACCCAGAAAAAAATTTGGACCATTTCTCGATTTATGCGTGTCATCCTTGCGCAGGGGCCATGCTAATCTGCGCGGCCTATCTCGGCCGAATGATCTCTTCGATCGCACGGTCGCGATGGACCGCGCTCTCAGTGAGTGAGGGCTGCTCCAAAAAGGAGCTAACCCAATTGGGCGCATGCGGTCAGGCCCGATCCCTAAGTCTGCAGGGTAACAGTTTGACGACAGTACCTACAGGGCTAGCTCCTCTTCACAGGAGATAAGCTGCACTACTTCTATATGAAGTGGTGTAGCACCTAGTAGGCCCTGCCTGGTGTGCCCAACCCCCTTCTGCTGGTCGTCTGCCCCTGCCTGCTTATCGCTGCAGGCTTACCCTCACTGGTTAACCGAGTGGCCGCGGCTTGGTCGGCCATCGAACCGGATAAACCTCGGTATTGGCCTATCGGCCCCCAGGCTCGAAGTCAGACCCCGCGGCCCTAGAAAAAACAAAAACTTTCTACACCTCCTGCGTCGTGGCCCTATACCCCGTCGCAACCCTCTTTTTAGCCCACTTAGACTCTGAATCGCGCGGCTGTATAGGTAGGATAGGTTTAGTTTTAGCATTTCTTTATCCGCACGTTCCTGCTGCTTCGACAAAAGCGTAACCTTTGTCGTTCACACCCGATACCCCCAGACGTCACATGCGTCCGGACTGAAGTCCGAAAACTCTTAGTTTCTCAGTCATAGGTCAAGTCTGAATAAACGTTAGGTAAACGTCAGTCTCATCAAGTCCTTCAATTCAACGCAAGAGTAGGACAACGTCCGACTTTCAAAAACACCGGCAAATACCCTTGTCATGGTTTTTGCCCCGACAACAATCCCAAACCCCATTGAACGACGTCCCAGTCGTTCACCCTATATTAATCAACAATATAGGGCTCTCTGGATTCTTATGGAACTCTTTTGAACAAAATATTTTTCAATCAAAAGTAAGTTGAAGCTTATCACACAAACCCGAGTCATTGCCTCGGTAATCTAAATTTCAATCATCCTTGATTGGAATGGTACCAGATGTAGCCTCTGGCAAGCCTTTCACCAAAACCCGAATTTATACTGGTTCAAGTTCCGGAATCACTAAATTTTTCAAGGAACTTTGTCTAAATGGTCCCAGCATCATCCCACTGGCGGCAACTCTAAACAGTATTTAGTCTCTCAGAATGGTACTGGAAATAGCCTCCGGCTAGCCTTCTAAACCACAGTCGGCTAATATTTACATTTATCTAAAAAAGGTCAGGTTTAACCCCCTGACGGGTATTTCAAAATAAATAACCTTCTGAGCGGCCCAGACAGAATCTGAACCAACCATTCATGAGAAAAACCATTTATCAAAAGTCCTTGTCCAGGTTTTGTCCCACCCACCCCAGGGTGGGGTGGTGTCGGCTCCCCCGTTCCAATTACGAGTTATCACACATGACATTTTTTCTGCATGCTTTGTGATATGCGTCGAGGAGTGGTGTAATCCTCAAGTGATAACATCTCGACGTCAAGCCCCGCTTTAGACTCGAGCCTCACCACCTTCCCTCCGATTCCAGTATCATGTGCTTGCCAGTCCCCTACCTGCAAGGTTGAACTACCCTTTCTCTATGACCTAAGCTGGTCAGACCCGGGTATAGAGGCGAGGCGACCCCATTCGTTACAAGGTCAAGGTGACCACTCCTTCCCCCATGACGAGCTGCAGTCATCACCCTTACAAGCAAGATTACAACAATCACAACAATACCTTTCTCCCTTTCAATGATAGTGTAGCCACCCTCCTTAAAAAGAAAAAGTGACAGCATCCCACTATGGACCAGGAACAAGTTCCGGCGTATAAGCCTCACTACCACCTACAGAGCTCACTGCATCAGGACTCATCATAACATGATAACTAAAAAAAAACATTACGAAAGTCTTAGGCTATGATAAATAAATGCAGTACATGCCTTAGCGAATAACACACGGAGTTCTCCTTCAAGCCATATAATGCAAATTACATATCATCTTGCTAGAATGTTTTACAATAAGAATATACATCAAATAACGATATACATTTACACAGAGGGTTCCATACATTCCAGTCCAAAAATATTCATAAATTTGCATTGCATCATATTTCATTGAAAAAGTAACAAGAAATCATTTAAATTTAGGAATCAACAATTTTTGGATCCAAAATCACAACATAATTCCATGAACAAGAGTCGTAAAATTTGTTAATTATACAAAAACATGGAACCATAGGTCCCAGAATTAAAATCAAATCCCAAGACTCCAAATTTATAATTCCCTTGTCTGTTCTCAGAACCAGTCAGCAATTAGTGATCACAAAAGAAATAAAAGAGGAAAAGCAAGTTCTAAAAAAAAAGTCTATAAAAAAAAACCCTTTTCTAAGTCCTTGGAATAAATTTTCTCAAATGCGATCCCGACACCCAATTTCTACCTTGAGCCCCATCCATCTCTTCGATCTCATAAGCCCCACGCTCAGATTTCCTGATAATACGATAGGGCCCCAACCATCGACTCTCCAATTTTCGATACCATTGTTTTTCCAAGGACGAATCATAAAGAAACACAATATCCCCAACTTCCAAAGGTTCCTTACGAACACGAGTTCCCTTATCTCATCTTTCCTTGTCGGCCTGTCTACTCTCTGCAGTAGAGGCAGCGGCCTCCTCAATCCTTTCCTCAGTGATCATCACTTGTCTTGCCCTCAATTCCAACAACTCGTCCGTTGAAAGCTTCGTTTCCACATTCTGCTTTCTCCAAGTGGTAAGAAAACTTTCGATCGGAAAAGTTGCATGACGCCCAAACCACAATGTGACTAGAGCATATCCAGTTGTCCGCTTTATGGTGACATTCTCAACAAAGAATGTCGTTCTCAGATATATTGGTAATCTTGAAGGATCGTCTCTACACCATTTAGCCAACAAATTTGTAAGAGTGGCATGTCCACGTTCAACTGGCGCATTGGCCTGGGGATGTGCCCTTGTAGTATAGCTAAAGCTTACTCCAAGTTTCTTCAGAAGCGTCTACACTTCCCCAGCCCGAAATTCACCACCTCGATCCATGACAATTTCCCGGACAAATGGGTACCGAAGATAATATTCCTCAACGCATTCTGCTAAAACATGCCCAGTACGCTCGCGAATGGCACAACCATCAACGAACATAGTCAGATTCCATCCGCCAAATAATTGTATGAGTTAATACTCAACTGTGACTCTTCTCCTTCTAGGAATCCATCCACAGGGACTGAATCCTCAGCCTGATCCGTCGATGAGTCCCAATCAACACGACTCAACCCATCTGCTCGATTCTGAGTGTCTAAAATGCGCTCAATCTCAAAATTGAACATCCAAATATACGTCAGCCATCGAGCAATGGTCGGATCAGAAGGAGAATAGTTCTTCAACGATTGAGCCAGAGCCGTAGGATGAACTCGCAGAATGAACCGCCTGCCAAATACATAATTCCTGAAAATACGAAGACAGTAAAGCACAGCAAGAGTTTCCTTATTGAACTGGGAGTAGTTCCGCTCAGTAATATTCAGAGTTCTGCTTTCGAATCTCAAAGGTCGTTCCCGTCCTTCCCCATCCTTTTGGACCAAAACTCCTCCCAAAGCGGTAGGACCTGCATCGGTCTCGATGATGAAAGGACGGCCTTCAGCATCATCAAAGCAAGGAACTCTCAGAATCAGGCCGCCTTCTCGAAACTCAGCTTTAATATCCTCAACGGCTGCCTGCTGCTTCGGTCCCCACTCCCAGACCTGATTCTTGCGTATTAACGTCCGCAAGTGTTCCACCCTCGCTGCGAACCTGCGGATAAAAATACGCCAAAATTCGCAAATCCCGAGAAAATTCCGAATGTCGGTAATAAATTTGAAGGGAGTCGGTCACTCCAAAATCTTATTCGTCTTCTGGGCATCTGGCCGACGACCCTTCTCATCACAAAGGAATCTCAATATTACCGTCTTCTTCATGCCATGCCTTGATTTAACCCCACTAGCTGTGAGGTTATACTCCTTCAGTTTCCTCATTGCTGATGTGTTCCCACACGAACTTTCGAACGTCGGGTAACACTTCAGTCTCGTCCTTGACTCGAGGTCATGGGATAGCCAAATCATCAATATATGGAGAAGTCACGTCCGGACAAAGCGGCTGCATGACTCTCATCATATATCTCTGCACAATTCTCACGGCATTTGTCCATCCTTGTGGAGCCGCGCACATATGAAGCAGTCCCCAGGGCGTATGCATTGTCGTCATAGGTCGATCCGCTGTGTACGGCGAGAACTGATCATACCCTGAATATAAATCAATTAAGGTGATGATTGATAAAGCAGAACCACGGAGATGCATACGGTCCATACGAATAGTCTTCCACTTTGGTCTGAAGCTTACCATCAAGATAATCCACCACCTTCCGGTGATCGTCTGGATTCGGATATCGTGGGCCTCTCATATTTCATGGCTCATGCGGTACCGTATGAATCCGGATCATTGGAATCATATTGACGTCCAGCCTTCCACGCTCATCATCATCAAAAGCATAAGCAAGATGAACTTTCTTCATAACGTCGATAAAAAAATGGATTTCTTCCTTAGTAAGGAGGTCATCCTCTCCAATGATCATCTCCTTGGTTCTGTCATCCGCCAATCGACACGGCCCCTTCTCACCTTTCTCCTTCAACGTTCTGATCCACTCGCGTTCTTCCTTATAATACACTTCCTTTTCTTGATTGATCAGAATTGGCACTGGTCACGCCTTCTCTCCTACTTTCTTATACTTGGTTTTGGACCCAACGCTTAGCTTCCGTCCCCTAAAAAGAACTCTTGCCTGGCTGATGACAGTGATTCCTCCATGCGAGATTCATTTAGCCGATACACTTGCATGGTTCTTGCACCTTTCTTGTCAACCACAGCCTCTATCAGGGCATGTACCAGACTCGGATCAATTGTAGGATGGCTTGCTGCAAAATCGATTGCCTGTGAGATACTTGGCAATGTCACTCCTGAGGATCCCTTTCTTCATCGATCGCCTCAGACTCTAAGAAGGTATATGATTCGGGATTCAACCGGTTCCTTGAATTTGTTGGTCCGGTATTCGCGCACTTTACCACTTCATAATAACCGCAAACCGGATCGCACAAAGCTACAAACATGGTGTCGTCATGCTTGTTGAAGATTATGCTCTCTGTGCAACATTGAAAGGATCTTCCCAAAAACACTTCGTGTTCAACTTTTGGCAATATGTAAAAATATGATCTCGCCTTTACCTTCCAAACTGTGACCATTACGCCACTAGCTGTACCGCAAAATGGCATTGCCCCACTGGCTCCAATCAAAAATCCAAAGTCATTGCGATTGATCTGAATCCCGGCTTCAATCGCATGCCTCTCTCTCATGATGTTCATTTCGGCCCCATCATCTACGAGAGCAGAAAATTCTCCACGGCCGATCTGAACTTTGATGAGACCAGTGGCTACATATCGTCAATCTATTTTTGTGTCAAGAGGCGCCCAGTTACCCTCTGGAGGGATGATCTCGCTCAGCTTGACTGTCATGACTTTCTTCCGAGTCATGCGCTGCTTAAATTCCTCACGGAGTTTCGGCGATACTGCAAGAATCTCCTTCAGGGTAACCAGATCACGCTTACTTTCCAGAATGCGATCCATCAGCTGTTCAAAATCAATCCCTTGTTCAACAATGATCGAGTGCACGTTCTTCTTTTTGCGAGGTTCTTCTTCCTCGACCTGGGTCTTCCCTGCTTCCGACGCTCTTTCCATAGCTCTCTGCTTTGCTAGCAGTTCATCCTCTGCTCGCAATTTTTCATCCTCCTTATTATCATCCCCTTCTTCTACCTGAATAGGTTCTTTTTCGTGAGGTTCCTTTGAACTTTCTCCTGGCGCAAGCTGCGATTGTGAGGTCTTCCTTCCTTTCCTCGTTTGCACCTTGACGGTTCGCATCCCTCGCTTGAGTACAGGTCTGGACATCATCATTGGTCGTGTCATCGGCGTTGCTTCAGGTGCCGAAGCGGCCGCAATTGCTGACCCGTCCTAACCTTCGTTACCCCATCCACCAAAAAGGAATACATTAGGAAGATTCGGCCAGACTTCTTCCATGTCAACACATAATTGAACAATGGAATCTCGACATTTGCCCAGTTTCTTGGTCACTTCTCGCGCCCGATGAGCAATGTCTTCTTCCCTTTCCTACAACTCATTTTCGTCACACCCACCAATCTCCAGAGAAGCCATTGTTTGTTCTAACTCAAAAAGGCTTGCTTCTTCAGGAGAAGCTAACCTGAATGAAGCCGGAAGAGGACGGTCCATCCGTCGAAAAGCCTCTTTTCTCATTCCTCCTTCAATACCCTGATCGATGAGATTTCCCTCGAAGTCAAGGACTTCTCCTCGAATCGTCGTGAAGACGATATTGTCCTTCTTGTCCTTGGCGAGAATCTCGCAGAAACGAGTAACAAGTCCCTGTGATTGAGTCTGTTGACCTTGATTTTGTTGTCCTTGGTCAACCTGTCGCTCCCCGCTTCCATTTCCTCCGTTCTTGCTGCTTTCTCCTTGTTTACGAGAAGTACCTTACCCTTCTCGTATCTGGTTCAAGGCTTTTCTCTCAGCCTTGGTCAACTTACGAGGGTGTCCCCTTTTGTCCTTGCTCTCACTCTCACTGCTACTCTCTTCAGTGACAGGCTCCTTCCCTTTTCTCTTTCCAGTTTTTGCCTTGGCCATCATCAGTTGAAGTTTTAACCGTTCCTCCTTCATATTGCTCATCATTTCCCTCATGTCAGATAAGGTCTTATAGACCTCCTTGTCCTTGTCCGTCCCCAACTGTAACCTCTCCCGATTCTCCTTCTACTGTTTCAGCAGCCGATAGAGAATCTGCTCGAAGTCCCCGGCCAATAAGATCTCTCGAATTTTTGGCCAATCATACCTTTCTTTCATGCCTTTTACCAACTTTAGTTGTTCCACCTCTGTGTAATTATTCAGGAAGATGAGGCAACGATCTTTATCTATAAGGTCAGGAACTAATTTCGCCACCCGCCCGAATTCAGTAAGGAACTGCTTTGTTGTACCAAAGCTTTTCCGACTAACCTTCCTCAAATCAATCAGGTCCAACAGTTGATCGCTCAGCTGGTACTTTTCTAGCAGCTTCCTTTTGAATTCTGCCCAGTTCAGCGAAGCTTGTACCAACTCCTCCACCTCTTCCTTATACTGGATCTTGCAGTACCTCTTCACCATTCGCAGCATCTTTTCATTCGACCATTCGCCGCAATTTCCCAATTGCTCAAACTTTTCTGCCCATCCCGAGGCGTTGTTACCATCAAACCATGGAACATCAATCTTCGGGATTTGATCCTTCGGGGACTGCTGAATAATTCTTGTAAGTTCCCGAATGTCATTGCTTCTCCCATCCTGATTGTCGTTGTTACCAACCATCTTGAGTGAAGAAAAACAACAATATATTAACAGAAATCAGTCAATTCTTATAAATAATATCTCATAATTTTGAGATCAAATTACTGACTTTTTCTGAGGTCAAACAAGAAAAAGAAAATAATTTTTTACTCCATTAATCACCCAAGTGTCGTTCCGCTAGGGACAACGGTAGTTTGTCGTTATTCCCTGACAACGGCGCCACCTGTCGTTCGCATCGGCCCTCGCGTGAAACGAAGGCCCTCCCGGCCATGTCACGCACAAGTTTACCTAAAACATAACTTTTAGAGACAACTCGGGAACGACGCATACTGTTCTGTGAACCGCCGAGACGGACGTGGTTGCTTCGCTCCTTCGCCGCTCTAGCCGGGTGCGCCAGCTATACATCCCACGGTCCCCTACGACAGGACAGGTTCCCGCGGGGCATAAGCTTGCATCCCTAAGGAGTTGTCACCACCCTTAGAGGCGTATCCCTACCGAGCTACTGATCCACGCACGAAGGTTTTTATGTGCAATCGCAGAGGTAGATCAGTCGAAGGTGTTTGCTCGTCTCCCTGCAGTATAGGAATTGTTTGACTAAACGCCGAATGAACTCGTGCGTCGTTCGTTTCCTGGGGCGTTGATCTCCGAAGTACGAAGTGTACGCCGGTCAACTGTGACATTCTCAACCAAACGTGAAAACGATCCTTAGTCTCTTGCAATCAAACAAAAAAAATCCCCGTGCTTAAAACAAAATCACACAATCCAAATCGTTGACTTGATGAGCTGGTCTGCCAAAGTGTCTTTTTTTCAACCTGTATGACTGAAATAACTTTTATATTGTCGTTCCAAGATTATTAAGTTAAAGAAATAAACTAAGAATGATTTTCTTATCATGACTACTGGTTCCTGTATGACTTGTATAGCTTCTGTAAATAAATATCACTGACACCATGCAGATCAACAAGTGATCTGGTTCCTGATCGATGTTTGAACTCCCGGTTCGACCACGTTTCCTTACCATATACAACTATTTGGATGAGCAAATGACAACTTTGTTGGTCGCTTTGACGTCCTCGACAATAATTATTCTTTCTGTTCCACGAATGATGGAGTATCCATCTTCAACACCAAGTTACGCAACGCATAAATGTTTCATCTTCCGCTGCTTCGCTTGACAACTTTTTCAGACGTTCGCTTTTCACTTTATCCAGCTTATTTTTATGCGAACGATTACGCCTCACTGCATAAGCATGATAGTGAAATCATCGGGGTAATCCAAATAATATCAATCCGGCGGTCCTAACTACATAAGGTGTTTTGTTTTTGTTTTTAGATTACCTCGTGAAACCATAAGTTATATGGTTTCCTCAACGGGACTGAGTACATGCGAAGTGTTTTCTGAAATCTGAGTAAGGTTTCAGAAGACGATGTCTAATCCTGGTAAATCTCTCGCCCGCCGCGCACCTGTGCCTCCAATAAATCCAAACGTGTCAGCTCGTCGTTGGTGAAAATCAAAGTAGACATTCATCCACATCGCATGACTCTAACAATCCGAGTATTATAGAAGGAGGTCATCTGAAAGGCTAACCTCCAAACTATAACTCGGAGAGGTCGACTAAGTCCGAATAGATGTCGAGTCTCGGTGTCCTCGATCCAGACGATGCCAAGACATCTGTCGGACGAGGTAATCGTAATACTCACAATGACTTGAGAGAGACATTGGAGGTTACTCACGCGGTGGAAATACAAAGTATAACCGTAAAACTCGTCGGGAGTCCGAGCCGTGTTGACTCGAAAATCCGAGCGAGTATTAGGGAAAAATCCATCCCCATTTCGAAGCAGTCCAATGAAGCCGAACCAGTCGATAGGAGATCCATCTCGAACTCGTAAAAGTCGCGCCGCACTCCTGATGAGATCCTCCTCGTGTGTATCACGAACCAGCAGATACCTCGGGATCGTCAAGTCTCATCGTGCTTCAGGCATCTGCGTATCAGAACGAATCCAATTCAGTCACGTAAAAACTCCTCGTGTTCTTCGGCTTCATTTTCCAATTCATCATCATATAACGCTTCAGCCCCTATAATTGCGTACCTATTAGCACGTATCCGCTCCGCGTAGTATATGCCAAAAAATGGGCCTTGTCGCTCAGGCAATGGCGGTGCGAACTCGTAATGAAGAATATCCAGGTCATTGTCACTCTTGAAAACAAGTCGCCTGGGAGGTTTTTGCGCACTACCACCCCAAAATCGCGGAACGTTGTCGGGCGCAATCGGTCTGGCACCGCACGG